TAGGTCCTAATAAGTGACTATGTTGTTGTTGTTGTGAAGTGCCGTCGAGTCGACTCTGACCCATAGCAACCCTGTATAGGGTTTCCAAGGAACAACTGGTGCGCTTGAACCACCGACCTTGTAGTTCAAACGACTTTGCAGTCTGACACATTAGCCCACCACAACACAAGGGACCATGAGGACTGCAATTTGAGTGATTACTCAGGTGACTCATGGAAACAGCTTAAGTATTTTATTTAACAAACCACAAGAGAGTACCGGTGCATACTGGTTCAACATCAGCACTGTGTGCTATTACAAATATTTTAGCTTATATAATTACTATTTTTCACACTGAATCTGCTACTTACTGAGGATCTTCATTATTTTGGTGAAGAATTAATAATAATGATCAGTCCAAAGTCAGTGTGTTATACAATGAATCAATAAGGCTATCAGGATTTTAGGGAAACTAAGATATCAATTGGCACTGTTGGCTAATGCATCAGATTACAAAGTCATTTGAACTGCAAAGTTGATGGTTAAAGCTCACCAGCTGCTCCTTGGAAACCCTATACAGGGTCACTATGGGTTGGAATTGACTCGACCACTTCACAACAACAACAAAGATTTCAATTAATCATATCAAAGTATGCACCATTTTTAATAAATAGAGAATCGCTGTTGAAAGACAGAGATCTTGATCTTTACTGGGAAATTTCAGAATAGTCGTTTATTCCATATTACTCCGATGGTTACAAAAATTCTTGTGATCATGACAGGGATGATGGTGAGGGCAAAACACTAGAGACTCCTTATTCTACTGAGAAGGATTTTGAACATTTCTTAATGTGTCCCAAATACTTCATTTTACCAGATGTCAAGTCTGAAAACATAGCATATGAAATAAATTGCTAACAGAAATAAAGGAAATCAATTCTTATAAAATTTAAAGTCAGCATAGAAAGCATTCATAGACAGGTGTATGAATTTATTATTTGTTCATTCATTTACTTATTTACTCAGTAATTATTTGAGTTCATATTGTGTGAGAATAGAAGAAACTAGATCAAATATTTGTTATAGGTTGTTATTGTTAGGTGTCATCGAGTCCATTCAGACTCACAGCTTATGCACAGTAGAATGGAACTGATCCTGTACCATCCACACAATCATTGCCAGTGGGAGTTCATTGTTGGAGCCATCGTGACAATTCATCTTGTTGAAAGTCTTGCTTTTCTTTGCTGACCCTCTATTTTATCAAGCATGATGTATTTCTATAGAAGGAGTATTAGTTGTGTTCTTATGTTAGTGAGGTCTTCTTCAAGGTAATCAGTAAGTCCTACAAGTGTGATATAGAAAACTCACTGTAGTAATAGCTCTGAAAATTCACTGGAGGAATTCAGAATAGATAGAAGACTACTGCAATAGGTTAGGGATTTGACTATAAACAAGATGAGGTGGTGGCTGAAGCCTGCTCTGCTGATGTGTGATTGTGTGAATATGAATGTACATTCATGTAGGTAATTTTTAATAAAAATTAGTTGCAAGTATTTTGGTTTTTAGTAATTAGACAAAATGGACACTCAAGTTTTGGAGTTTACATTTTATCTATTTACAACATGTAATTTACTCTTAGAGGTAAAATAATGAAAAATATTTCATTGGAAGCTGTAGAGAGGTTTTTGAGAATTTTTATCCCCCCCCCCCCCATATTTTCTTTATCTTTAAGATGCTGCCATCTAGTGGTAATTTAGTAAAAAATCAAGCTCCTGTCTGGTTACTTTCCTCAAAACAGTCACATTTTTAAAATTTGCTTTTGGCTATGCATGGAAAAATCATTTTACATGTACAAACACATATTAAAGAAGCCACAAGTGAATTTTTGATGTGGTGACATAGATCTGGCCAAAGAGCTTTGAAAAACAGGATGGTGGTGGTGGTATGCTTCTAAGTTGATTTCAACTCATCCAGTCCCTGTATAGGGTTTGCAAGGCTGTGAATCTTTACAGGAACAGAAAGTGTCATCTCTCTCCCACAGAGGAACTGTAGATCCAAATTACTGACCTTGTGGTTAGCAGCCCAGCTTTTAATACACTCCATTACGAGAGGTATGCGAAGTTTTGTCGTTTCTTCATTGTGCTGATCTTTATAAACAGTCCAGCCTTTTCTAGTTCTTGAGTTTTCTAAGTAATGTTGAGTTACTAAAACATTTAATAAAAAGTTGCATTTCAAACATCATTTCAAAAAAGTCATTGCTTTAATTAGAAATATCGAGGAGTTTCAATATTAAGGAGTTTCAAATTCAGTATAAAAACCTTTTCATCCTACTGAAATTTCAATATTACAAAGCAAACAGACATGTGTGTCCATCTATTAAAGGAAACCTAATAGCAATATTTTTTGCTTTACCTCATACTTCCTAGGACTATGTAAATTGTTCATTCCTATTTTTGAGCTGAATAGAACCGACTCAACGGCACTTAACAACAACAACAACAACATATGCATCAATAAGTTGTTGCCATAAAAATGTTGCTTACCAAATCATCTCAGAACCCTGTGCTTTAAAATAATAATAGTCTATTTGTGGACCATATTGGTGTTTGCTGATCTAGAAGGATCCTGCTAGATTCAGCTTAGCTCATTCATATGTTTTGGGACAGATAAAGGGACTGGGAACACTGGATCCAGGCTGAGTTCAGGTGAAGAAAACTCTGATCTACATTTCTTTTCCATGTGGGCCAGCAGGCTAGCTCAAATATGGCAGAGGGCAAGAATGAGCAAGTTGAATCTTTCAGCACTCCTTGAGGCTGTTTGCATTACATCTATTCACATTCCATTGGTCTAAAAGAAGAGTCACTTTGCTGAGCTCAATGTAAGGGAGTCGCATCCCTCCCTAAGAGAAACCGAAATGTTGTATGGTAAGAGGCATGGATAAAAGAAGGGGGAGGAATGAGAACCATGGTTGAAATTTGCCACAATGTATATAGTGAACTCATAAAATTAAAATATGGGCATGATGTAAATTTTAATGCTAAACTCAGACTGATTCCTTGGAGTTACTGTTGTCGTTCATTGTTAGGTAATAGGATACACTGAAGCAGCAATCTCAAACATATTGGTAATAGAAATTCTTTATGCTCAGTCATTCAGGTTTTGAAGATCTTGAAAAGCTGTTAATTCTGTGTTTATATCACTGTATTCATTGTATTCTAAATTTAAAATGTATTATTAATTTATTTTAAAGTAATAATAATATACCCATTAACGTTAACATGTTGTTGTTGTTACGTGCCGTGGAGTCGGTTCCGACTCATAGCGACCCTGTACAGGGTTTCCAAGGTTGTAAGTCTTTACAGGAGCAGAAAGCCTCATCTTTCTCCCACACAGAGGGTATATTTATGAAAAATAACTTTTTTTTTTCAAAACAAACATAAAGATTGTCATTATCTTACATTTGGCAATTACAAATTCTTTTTGCTTAATAGGATTTTCTTGTCTGATTCTGAATGCAATCTCTTAATTTTTTTTTCTTGATGAAACTATGAAGAATATCTATTCTCATAATGATAGAAATTAGAAAAGACTGAAGTAGTTTAATAGATTTTTCTTTGATACTACACAAAATTTGACAAGACTGAAGTAGTTTAATAGGATATTCTTTGATACTACACAAAATTTGACAAGTAAGACCTTCTTAGTGGTTAGTCATTATATGAAATGTGAAACCAAATGATTTAATTTTCTGTATTTTGTTACCTTAAAGTCCATTAGTCAGTCTTGCATTCTGAATGGATCTTTGATGTTCAAGTATGGGTCATGTGGAGTATTTTTGTTCAGTGAGATATCCAGGTCTTCCCAATATTGACACATTTCATTATATGATATGAAATCAGATTTGTTAATATCACTAACAGTTATTTGATATAAAATCAGATATGTTAATATCACTAACAAAGTTTTCTCTACAGATAAGTAGCCATTTTCATAGATGTCAATACAAGTTCTCCAAAGTTCTCATCTTCTCCTAAAAATTCTAATTTTACCATTGGCAACAAATACATGTTGCTTTCTTTCAAGTGAAAGCATTGTTTTCAAAAAATAGCAAGTTGGAATTACCATTGATTGTCAGTAGCTTTTTAATGTATAAATTACATTTCATGTATAAATTACATTTTATGTATAAATGTACATTTCATGAGAAAAGTGCTAGTTCAACTTGCAACTGAAATGATTGCTCAAGTGCATTACTCTGAGACAAGGGAACCCTGGTGCGATGCTATAGGTCTGCTAACCACAAGGCCAGTGGTTTAAACCCATCAGCCACTCCTTAGAAACCCTATACGAGGTCACTATAAGTCAGAACTGATTCAATGGTACTTATAACAACAGTAACATCCTATTTCAGAATGTTTCATAAATAAATATTTCAATGTGTCTCATAAATATTTTCTACAAGGTATCAAACATAAAAGAATTAAGATATTGATATGAATTAAAAGTTGATCGTTTCTAAAGATTTACCAAGTAGATTCTTAAATGAAACAGTCTTTTGGGGTTAAAAATTAATGTAAAATGACTGCTAGTAAAGTTTTGTGTCGCTGCCTGTATTTGTGCTAAGAGGCAAGAGTTTTAGCCATCATAGTTTTTGCAAAGTATAAAAGGCCAAGCATGTCTTAGTATTGTCAAAATTATGAGACTTAGCGAGTATCATGAAAAGTTTGGGGGGCACTCAGAGATCCACAGATAACATTGTAAACCACAGCTTTAAAGGATTTACCTTATTTGTGGTACAGCAGCATAGGATTAGCATTCAACCTCAAGGTTGGTGTGAACTGCAAGGTCAGCGCTTCAAACTCACCTGCCACTCCTCAGAAACCCTGTATAGGGTACCCATGAGTCGGATCTGACTTGACTGCACTTAACAACAACAGCTTTCAAAGAATTTCTTAAAGATATTTGTAGTCATATTTCTAATCATTAAGCAAATCTAAAATGTGTCATTGTGTCTTCCCCAGGGTTGTTTTGTCGGTTTTGATCTGGCACATGCAGTTGGAAATGTTGAACTCCATTTACATGACTGGGGAGTTGATTTTGCCTGCTGGTGTTCCTACAAGGTACAAATTAATTACTATTCTTGCATCTTTTTTATTTCAACTTGACATTAATCAAAGTAAAACACTGGATGGGTGGGCCAATTTTAAGGATTTGAGTTACTTTTTGGTACATCCTTCATTTCAATGTTTTCTAATTATAGTTAAGAGTTAATAGTCACATAGCTAGAATAATATGGGAAATAATTAATTCTGGAATTTTCATCCATATAGAGTATACATTCTTTCCATTCTTAAGCTTCAGTGAAAATGTGAGGGGGTTCTGGAGAAAAAGCCCCAAACATTTAGAAATTAATTTAAATTGATGAGCTTCTTAGTTTTGTGGTTGATGGTGTAAATGTTCTACTTATTACAAGGTAATTTTTAAAATCAATTTGTACTGGAATTTGAAAAAATAATTGACAAGAAGTATGAATATAGAACACATTTTAGCTTAGATGATTTAAAATATGATACATTTATTATTTAATTATCTTCATTATCAGAAATATTTAATTGATATAACTTTGAAATGAGAGAGACATCAGTTGCAGAGGTATTTATTTATTGGGATGAATAAATAAAAAAAGTTTCTTCATTTTCTTGTTGATAATTATGTATCTTCTCTTGTGGTATTTTAAGGAATTAGTGAACAAGCGCTTTGGACCCATGCATTTTCTAGAGTTTTTTTCATTAAAAGGACATCTGACATTTTATAATGTTTTACTTTTTTCTTGGTAATGATTTATCTATTCTGAATATTAAACACAAGCCCACTAAAAGGAATATTATTAATGCATATACCATGCATGCAATATGCTGCACAAATTCAATTGATAAAAATGCAGTTCAATCATATCAATGAGGTTTTCTACCTTATTAGTCACAGTATTTTGTTGTATTGAAAAACTAAATTAGCTTGAAAGGACTGGCCATTTCAAAGCTTACCATATTTGTTTAACACTTCTGGATTCGTTTCTCTATATTTTGTTTTATTTGACTACAAATGAAATGAATATTTGGCCTCAACCTCATAATGTTAGTTTTTATTTGTTTTTCTGTTTTACAGGTGACCTAAAATGCTCACCACAAAGAAAGCTTTTGTCTACAGAAGCTCTAATAATTACTTATTTTCAAATACCTGAAAGTTAGTTTCATTTAAAAAATGACAAATGATTGTATTGTGTTTTTTTTTTTTCATATATTATGTAAGCTCTAACAATAATTTGTTTTTATTTCAGTATTTAAATTCAGGAGCAGGAGGTCTTGCTGGTGCCTTTGTCCACGAAAAGCATGCCTATACAATAAAACCTGCGTGAGTACAAATTTCATATTCTTCTTTGGTGATGAATAAATTAATTTACATGAGTAAGTTGTTAAATTTACATGAGTTCCATAAGATGCTACCTAATAGGAATTTGGATTGATTGTAATTATTTCACTACTCTGTTAACAATGATGTGCTTTTCCAAAAGAAATAGATGCTTTCCAAAGAGTTCAGTTGGTTGAATAAGAAATTCAATCACAAAAGAAAAGCTTCAATGCCCAAGGAGTCACTGCAATCATGTAGAGCAGATGGCTTAATGCAAAGAGACCACTTCACTTGTTTTTTTTTTTTTTCTTCAAAAATTAGACTTCAGAAAATTTCTTATTCCTTACATTGATGAATAAATCAAAGATAGCCAGAACTGTGCCTAATAGCGTCTTAAATGTGGCATGTTATTATTAAAATTACATCTTCCTTTAAAGCTAGAAATGTTTCAGAATGGTCTTATATGGAATATCTTCTTCCTAAAAGACTTTATAATCCATGAGCACTGAAGAAAATGAACATTGAGCAACAGACTGCCGATATAAAAAGCAATACCTTTCTGTTTTATAGAACTCTCTTTATATTTTAGAGCAAGTATAAATATAACTAATACACCAACAAATATATACATTCTCATTTGACTACAAAACTCAGAAGTGTTCCTTTCATTCTATTTGGTACTGAGCTTCAGAAATACTATCCTTCTTTACAGAAAGGACAGAAGCAAAACAAACATAGTTATTATATTGGATGGGAGACCTGGTGTGGCACTGTAGGATAAGGACTGGACTGATAGCTACAACTTTGCGGTTCAAATCCACCAGTCATTCTTCTGAAACCCTATACAGAGTCACTATGTTTCAGAATTGACATCATGGCAATTATCAGCAAACAACATATGAGTATGAGATGAGGAGACTATGTAGATTCCTAACAGATAACGCAATGATGTGTGATGTGTTTTCTGACTCTTCTCAGCTACTGGCTAAGTGGTACAATCTTTACAATCATTGAAACTGAATTAGCACTTGAGCTTTGAGAATCTTATGTTTTAGGTCCTATGTGTATAAATCCTAGGAATTTATGATAATTTTCTGAAGTTCATTTAATCGTGACTAAAATGTGTGGTGCTGGATTTCAAGTCTATTTGAACCATAAGGTCAATGGTTCAAACCAACCACTAGCTCCTTGGAAACCCTACAGAGGGTCACTATGATTTGAAACCGTCTCCATGGCACTTAGCAACAACAAAATTTCTTCAAGATTTCAAAGCTTTAAAATTAAATAGAAGATTTTCTTTAGATAATTATTGTGTCAGGCCAACATCTTCCTGGAATGTATTGTCAGTCTATAGTACTTCCTCCTATGTTCTAAAATCTCTGGGAAATTGTAAGCCATGCATTGTATTCTAAGAATATTATTGGTGGTGGTAAGTGCCATCAAGTCAGTTCTGACTCAGGAACCCTGCATAGGGTTTCTGAGGCTATAAATCTTTCTGGGTGCAGAAAACCTCATCTTTCCCCCATGAAGCAGCTGGTAGGCTTGAACTACTGACCTTTTAGTTTGCAGTCCAGTGCTTATCCTACAGAACCATCATGTTTTCCTAAGGTAAGAATGCCTTGCATATATTTAAAACACGTCCATGTTTACAATGCTTCCCATTGTTTCTAGCATGGTTTGTTTCTCATTCAGACTATATACAAGATACTCCTTGCTTTTGTGTGATGACTCACTGCCCTGGTCAAAACCATTCTCCATTCATTTAAATTGTAATAGAGAAGCTGATGCATTATGTCAACTGAAATAACAAGCTGATGGGAAGCAGGAATTAGACGTTGAAGCCTGATTTTGCAGCATTGGTCTATTATAATTGTGATCACTTTCTTTCCATCATTTGTCCTTCATGGATGGAGTAAAGGGGTTTGTCCTTCATGGATGGAGTAAAGGGTATGCTTACATGTGTCTCATTTTGTGGAAGTCCAAAACCTTCTGGGCCATATTTTAATCATTGCTAAATTACACAATAAGGAGAAAGTCCATGTAAATACTCCAAGTTGGTTATTTGGTTGAGAGATTAACTTTATAAATCTCATTCCTCAAATTCTCTGTTAAACTGACCTTGCCATCTTTTGGCTTTCTCATTAATTAATGAGTTGAATAAGATCTTTTATGTGTATGAAAGGGACAGTTTTAACAATTTTGAAAATTATACATCATTAGTGATTATTGCATTCTGACTAAATAGTTTTGGAGACATGCAAGACTCAAATCAAATTTCACTAAGTAGTTGCTGTTAGGTATCATCAAGTTGGCACCGACCCCATAGCAACCTTGTGCACAACAAAGTGAAACACTGCCCAGTCCTGCGCCAGCCTCACAACCATTGCTACGTTTGAGTCCATTGCTGCTGCCACTGTGCCAATCCATCTCGTTGGGGGTCTTCCTCTTTTTCTCTGAGCCTCCACTTTACCAAACATGATATCCTTCTCCAGGGACTGGTCCTTCCTGACAATATGTACAAAGTATGAGAGACAAATCTGGCCATCCTGGTTTCCAAAGAGCATTCCGGCTGTACTTGTTCCAACACAGATCTGTTTGCTCTTATGGAAGTCCATGGCACTTTTTATATTATCCTCCAACATCATAACTCAAATGCATCAATTCTTCTTCGGTCTTCCTTATCACTGTCTAACTTTCACATGCATATGAGATTACTAAAATACCATGGCTTGGGTCAGGCACATCTTACTCCTCACTAAGTAGAGGCCTATTTATGGAGCCCTGGTGCAGCACTGGGGGGTTAATGTGCTGTTCTGCAAAGTCAGTCTGAACCACATAGTCAAAGGTTGAAGCTCACCAGCTGCTCTTTAGAAACCCTGACAGCAGAGGTCTATTTATATAGAACACTGGTTGGTTTCATTGTTCTGTTTGTTCGTTGCTTGTATTTTGCTTTCTCCAGTTGTTAAACTTATTTTTATATGATGTCAGAGTGCCTTATGCCAACTTCTAACCTTTAATATGTGTTAGGGAATTGGATCACTAACTAGAAATTGATGCAGCAGATTCCTACAAGCCAAGGACAGAGTATTTCCAGATAATCTGTTCTTCATCATTGATAGGAAAATAAATGCTTTATTAAAACTTAACATTGTATTCTGTAAAATAGTACAACTATGTTGTACTCTTTTATACATGGACAAATCAAACACAATCTTCAGATGAGTGGTGGAAAGAGCAATGAAGAAATAGAAAAGGTTAAATTCCACGCTGTCTGAAAAAAATGAGTTGAACAGACATAATGACATTCAATAAATTTAAAATATTTTATAGTATTTATAATAGAGAAGTAAAATACAACCTAATCTTCAGAAGGTTCAATATGAATAGTGATTATATTGTGGGGTATAATTATTTTATAGTCAATACCCTGCTCTAGGATCAGCACTGGACTGCACACCACATGGTTAGCAGTTCAAACCCACCAGTGGTTCCTTGGAAACCCTATACAGGGTCGCTATGTATCAGAACCAACTGGACAGCACTCAACAACAACAAGACCAATCCTCAAGTCAAATGCATACATTTTTCTATGGTCTTCCTTATTCATTGTTCAACTTTCACATGCATATGAGGCTACTGAAAATACCATGGCTTAGATCAGGTGTACCTTGGTCCTTAACTGATTTCATTATTCTTCAACACTTTAAAGAGGTCTTGTACAGCAGATTTTCCTAACGCAATATGTTGTTTGATTTCTTAACTGATGCTTCCATGAGTGTTGATGGTGGAGCCAATCAAAGTGAAGTGTTTGGCAATTTCAATCTTTTCTCCATTTATCATTATGTTATGTATTGGTCCAGTTGTGAGGATTTTTGTTTTCTTTACATTGAGGTGCAATCCATATTGAAGGCTGTGTTCTTTGATCTTCATCAGTATTTTAAGTCCTCTTCACTTTCAGCAAGCAAGGTTGTATCATCTCCATATTGCAGGTTGTTAATGAGTCTTCCTCCAATCCTCATGTCTTTAAAGTGTTGAGGAACAAAATGTTAGTTTGAGAATTACAGTGCACCTTCGTATGCTTGTGAAAATTGAACAATGAATAAGGAATACCTTAGAAGAACTGATGCATTTGAGTACTAGAGAAGAATTTTAAAGGTACTATGGAGCTCTGGTAGAATAGTGGTTATGAATCGGGCTGCAAACCTCAAGGTCAGCAGTTCAAAACTACCAGCTGTTCCGCAGGAGAAAGATGAGGCTTTCTGCTCCCGTAAAGATTTACAGCCTCAGAAACCCTGTACAGTGTTACTATGAGTCGGAACCGACTCCACGACACACAACAACAACAACAATGGACTGTCAGAAGAACAAACAAATCTGTGTTGGAAGAAGTACAACCAGAATGCCCCTTGGAAGTCAAGATGACCAGACTTTGCCTCTCATACTTCAGATATATTGTCAGGAGAAACCAGTTCCTGGAGAAGGACATTATCCTTGGTAAAGTGGCAGGTCAGCAAAATAGAGAGAGACCCCTAACAAGATGGTTTGGCACAGTGGCAGCTGCAGTGGGCCCAAACATAGCAGCAATTGTGAGGATGGTTCAGGGCTGCACGTGTTTCATTCTGTTGTACATAGGGACGGTTATGAGTTGGAAATAACTCGATTGTGCCTGACAACAACAAAACATCCTCATGTGGTGCTGTACGGTGGGCATTAATCACAAGGTTGGCAGTTCAAGCCCCTCCTTGCTGTAGGATAAACACTGAACTGATAATCACAAGGTTGACAGTTCAAACCACTCCTTGGAAACTCTAAACAAGGTTGCTTTGAGTTAGAACACACTGTATGACATTTAATAGCAATAATCACAAAACATCAGACTTAAGGATGACTCATGTTGTTGTGTTAAGTGCTGTCAAGTCGGTTCCAACTCATAGTTACCCAGTATAGGGTTTCTGAGGACTGGCTGGTGAGCTTGAACCACCAATCTTGTGGTTCAAACCAAC